CGACCCTCGACGACACCACGGACAGCATTCCAAGCAACTCGATCGCACCGGTGCCAGAAATTGTGGCTGATTCAGCCGCCGACCAAGCCGACACCGACGCAGAGTGCACCGAAAGCAAGTCGCCGATGGCGATCATGCAGCAAGCGATTTTCGACCAAGCCCCGAGTCTCCACCGCCTTCCTCAAACCGGCAACTTCCTGCACGTGCCGCCACTGCTCTGGACATCAGAGGTGCGCGTTGCAGCTATCGATACGCTCGTTCGCGCCATCACAGCGATCGAGACCGGGCAGCTGATGGCTTTCGAGCCGCACTTGGTCCTCGCACCCACCCCATGCCTCGCACCGGTTCCTTTAGGGCAACGGGACGCGGCGCTCGAGTACGAAGAGACCGTGCTGCGCGCGTTGCTAGCCAGGGCCCACGAGTTGGGCCTTCTGTAGCTAGAGTACAAGTAAGCGACATATACAGAGTAAAAACCGAAAGAAATGCATGAAACTATACGTGTTTCCACTAATGCGTTTACAACAAATGGTAGATTCGCGACTGCAGTTATTAATAGTAGATGGACATGTGGCAGCGTTGACTGGCGTTTGGCGCATCCTCGCCAGGTGTAGCTCGTACGTCAGCCTCGTTTTAGCGCAAAAATACTTGGCGACCGTGGAAACCACCGACCTCGGCGAGTTGGAGCTCTTAAAGACTCGAGCTCGCTTAGAGGTCGTCGCAGAAAGCGAGTGCTCCTGACGCACCAATGGCACGGGACCGATTGAGACGGAGATTCGTACTACGTGGAGACGAGCGGAGCCACGCGGCAAGGTGGTGGCCTGCTCGAGGAAGAGCTTGATTTACCAATAATGCGAAGAAGGCGGGCGCATTCGTCGAGCAGAGTCATGGAGCAGAGTAGTGTCTGAAGAAAGGCATCCAGCACTTGTGTATCGGCATCGAGATCGTCACGTCCAGTCCATCCAACGACGAGGACTGACGCAGAAGGGCTCTGAGGGCCTCAGTGTCCAGCGGCATCCACGTTGCCGATCTATTTGGGCACCCAAGGCCGGGACAAGATGTCGCAGGTGGTCCATGCTTCCAATTTTCGCATCGAATTGCGGACCTAGCTGTAGCGTCGCTTGCAGAAGCTTGAGCACCTCAGGCGATCAATGTGCCTCCTGGAGATAAATGATGGGCCAGCGATGAAAGTCGAATGCCGTTGGGCGGTCCGCGATGGAGGTCATGAATGCGAGAAGCGCCGGCGTCCAGAGATTCGCTGGCATGCCGTCGAGGAGAGATTCGCTGGCATGGCGTCGAGGATGGTGGCAATGTCCTGCGGCGCCGGCAGTAGCCGAGCGATGATCTCGATGAGACCCGGCTGCAATAGTCCGTTCGAGACCGGTCAACTGACCTTGCTGCGTGGCGCCATCGTTCGGCGAGATGGGCTTTTCTTTTGGAGGAATACTATTATAATAAAATACCTCCTGGGATACAAACGTAATTTAAATCCCGCTCTTTTGGTAGCCCCATCTTGTCTGTAGTAAGCGGAATTGGCAATCAAGAATTCGAGATTCAAATTTCAAAGAATTCGGGATCCGAAATGGTTTTCACCATCCATTTTGGCCTGTCAAAACAAAACGCATGAGCGACGAGCCGACCAAGTCCAAGAAGCCGACGTATCGCTTCACAGTGCATACGGACATTGATCTCTTAGAGGAGGTGATCAATGTGGCTCCGCACGACGCCCCGTACGGACAGACCACCGCGCGCTGGGAGGAAGTCACCAACTACATGCGCGCGCTCCACGGCGAGCACCTCACGGTGGCCGGCTGCCGCAAGCGCTTTGACGACCTCATGGCGGCTTTCAAGACGGACAGCGTCAACGGATTGCGTGCGTCCGGCACCGAAGAGGAAATGAGCCAGCGCTTCGTGCTACTGGAAGAAATGTCGGACCTTGTGCGTCGATTTCGCTTCGTGTGCTTGCCTCAGCATATGCTACTTGTTTGTAGTTGGAAGCGGCGGCCGACAGGAAAAAGGCCAGCAAGATTGACAAGGACAAGAAGCCCGACAAGCGCGAGCCGGACGGGCACCGCAGTCGTGCGGCAGCGCAGCAAGGAAACAAACGCAAGGCAACCAAAGGCGACGACCTGGACGAGGACGACAGCGCCGATGCGCCAGCGAAAAAGAGCAAGGGAGATGACTGCGCGACGACCGATCTCGCGAGCGTCCTCGCAGCCTTTTCCAGCATGATCGAGTCGACCAACCAGCTCAAGCGCGACGAAATTGCCGCCAAAAGAGAGGCAGTTGCCGCCAAGAAGGAAGAACTCGCCTTGGGCCAACGCAAGCTCGAGCTTGAGGAGCAGCGGTTCCTCTTTGAGAAGGCCGAGCGCGAGGAGCGATTCGAGCTGGAGAAAGTGGAGCGCGAGGCCCACCTCGAGTTTATGCGGCGCACGATCGAGATGATGCAGACAAACTTAAACACCAAATCGTGAATCGTCTTGGCCAGTACTGTATGTTGCGCTTCCTAGTGAGCTGACGCGGTGCAACCGCCTCGAAGCACCCTGCTATAATTCAAGGTCATGATAAACGGGGTGGTAAAGGCGATCCAAGTTGGCGAGGTTGCGAGCAAAACGTTTTTCAAACGCATCAAATGACAATAGTGTACAGCGGATTGAGTTTTCGAAACCCTAAAACTCTCTTACATCGATAGAGAGGAAAACATCACCACCGTCAGGGGCCCGATTGCCGAGAAAAGATGATATTGAATGAATCATTGTCGAAGTAGCGTTTTTCACATTAGGTCGAGAAGCCGCACGGGCTATTGCGAGGATGCACCTTGTTTGCCTGAGGGAAATACAGTTGGCTGGCTTCGCACACTGCTTGCGGAGCTTATTCGAGCGTACATGCCGAGGCGGCGAGTGCATGAATCGTATCGCGCCTGTAAAGGCTGCGAGGTAAAAGCTAGCATGCCCTGTCGCTTCACAAGGGAAAAACCTGCTATATCGCTTTTACAGCGAGCGAAATGGCGTCTTGCATCGCGTCATAATCGAAAACACCATGCTCTACAACAGCCAGCACGTCCAAGACAAGGAGGCCAAGCGCCGCGCGCGCGAGGAACAGCTCTTTCGCGAGACATACCCTGCTCTCTACGCCACCGAGCAGCGCCGCAAGGTCAAGGAAGCGCGCATGGCGGCCAAGCCTGTGTCGAGCCCCAAGCCACAGCCCAAGAAGACACCCGTGGCCCGCCCCACGACCAAGCCGGCGGCCAAGACGACCAAGCCGGCAGCCAAAACGACCAAGCCGGCAGCCAAAACGACCAAGCCGGCAGCCAAAACGACCAAGCCGGTGGTCGATCTCCGCAAGAAGGCAGCCGCAGCTACCACCACCACGCCAGCACCCGTGCGCTCAGCGACGCCAGCCCCGAAGGCTGCAACACCACTCGAGATGGCTGAGGCTCGAATCCAGGAGCTCACGACGAAGCTCGCAGTGGCGCAACGGACCATTGACGAGCAGAACGCAGCTATTGCACGCCTGCAACAAGCCGCAGAACCCAACACGACGACGACGACGACGACCCTCGACGACACCACGGACAGCATTCCAAGCAACTCGATCGCACCGGTGCCAGAAATTGTGGCTGATTCAGCCGCCGACCAAGCCGACACCGACGCAGAGTGCACCGAAAGCAAGTCGCCGATGGCGATCATGCAGCAAGCGATTTTCGACCAAGCCCCGAGTCTCCACCGCCTTCCTCAAACCGGCAACTTCCTGCAC